TCGCGGGCAGGCGGGGCGGGGGGGGGGCAGCTGCCCCTGCCCCGGACACGCGTGGGAGGACAGCAGTGCTGCTGCCCCCTGGCCTGGCAAGACTGAGTCAATAAAATGGAAGTCCTCGCTCTGCCGCCGCCGCGTGTGCCCCGTGTGTGCCCCTGCCCCCGCCCAGGTGGAGCGGCTGGCCCCCGTCCCCAGGCAGCACGTGAGCGGGTTACGGTGCCGGGACGGCCTCGTGCTGGCAGGAGAGTGGGATTAACGAGCTGAGGTTGCCTTGGACAGAGGTTGCCCCAACCAGACCGGCCCCTGTGCAGCCAGCTGTGGCTCATGGGCTGCTGGGGGCTTGTCCCAGCTGGGGTTTCTCTTCCTCGGGGCAGGGGACACCAGTGAGTTCCCTGGTGCTGGCTCCCAGGAGATGCTGCCCACTTGGTCTGTGTGAGGGCCTCGGGCCTGGGCCTGATCCTGATGCTGTGCCCAGCCCTGTGCACCCCAGAACGCAGGGCTGGCCTAGAGCTGCAGGCTCCTGCCCCCCTTGGAACAAGGGCTCCTCCCACATGGTTGAACCAGCATTGATAACCATGTCGCTGTTGGGGCAGGGTCTGTCTCGCCCCTGCCGTTGCACCCAGTGAGCTGCTCTGTGTTCAGGGAAGCCTGGGCGGTGGGGGCCAGACCCCTCTGGTCACAGCAATCCTGCTTTCACCCTGCAGCACTTCCGCAGGAGCAGGAGCTGGCGGGTTTGGCGCTGGCAAACTGCTGCCCGCATCCCACTGGCTCCCTCAGTCCCCCCCCACCTGCCCTTCCTCAGCCCTATGCCTGGCAGCTGCTGCCTCCTCCCTGCTGCTGCATGGAGCTTCCTCCTCTGGCCCCAGCTCAGCCCCCAGTTGCCTTTGCTCATTATTAAACAGTCCCTTGCAGTCCTCTTCACCCTACAGGCCACAGACTTATCTCCACAGCTCTTAGCCCCAAGTACACAGTAGAAGGGATCAGCTTCCTTGCACCCCAGGTTGGTCCTTGCTTGTGTTTTATGGTTGCTTTCACATCTCTTGTCAGCTGTCCCAGGACTACACCTCACTTCTGCCGGCACCAGACACATTTTCTCTCTTCTTGTTATTTCTGCCCCCTTTCCCAGAGAGGCACATGCGGTTCCTGGGCCTGTGTGCTGCACACCCCCAGGCACCAGCCAGCCATAATCCCTCCCACCTGAGGAGCAAAGCGGCTCCAAGGAGGTCTGACCCTGGCCCTGCAGGTGCACAGCCCTTCCTGGAGGAACCTGGGGCTTGGGCATGCAGACAAGGTAGGTAACAGCACCCCTAGGACCCCCCAGCTCCCTAGGGCAGTCCAGCCATGTGCCCCCCCACCCCTCTGGGTCCCTGGAGAAACAGGCCAGACTCACACCACATTTCTACTTCCTCCCATTTATTCTGTACTTCACAGCACAGCCTAGGCCTCTCCCTCTTCTCCCAGCCAGACACAGAGCACAGGAGAGCCAGGCTAGGGCCAAGGCCTGCGCTGCCCTTTCGGGTCACCCTGGACCACTGGTACTGTGCTGTGGGGGGAAGAGGGGAAGGGGCCAGGACCAGCACATCTGGGGCCTAAGCAAGGTCCAGAGTGGAGTGAATAGGCTCCGCACCCCTCAGCTGGAGCTCAGCGGGCACCAGGAGCAAGGCACCCAGTTACAGGCTACCATCCAGTCCAGGGGCCTGCATTGACCTGGACAGAGACACGGGGCCAACAAGGCCAACGGCCTGAGGCTGAGAGCACAGACCAGGAAGCCTAGACTCTCACAGCGGCTCTACATCGCAGGGCCCAAAAGGTACCAAGGTGCAGCCAGGCCTGTGCAGAGGAAGGTACGACCTGGAGGGCAGCCAGGCTCTCACTGCCTGGAACAAGTGCAGGGCACAGCAAGGTGGAGGAAAGGCAGAACAGGCCTTGCCCCTGGGGCTGGGTAGCTCAGCTGGGGCACATGGCCCTTGTCTTTCGGGAGCTGCTTGCTTCTAGTCCCATGGAATACCACAAGGTAGAAGCAAAGATCCTCTCGCCCACACCTGGAGGTCAAGGAGCTGCGGCTGCTGCCCACACAGGCTCAGGCTGCTCGTGGAACAGAGGGTTCTGCTTCATTGAGGAATGGCATCTAGGAAGCAGGATGGTGACGCAGAGCTCCACCCAGCAGGGCTGATGCTAGTGGCGGTAGTGCGGACTGCGGGAACGGGACCGGGACCGGGACCGGGACCGAGACCGGGACCGCCTGTGGAGGAGGAAGAAGGGGAGGTTGGTGCAGCAGAAGACGGGCATAAGCCAGGGGTCAGGCTGTGCAAGGAACATAGAGGAACCCGAGAGGCCATGCACCCCCGTAGGGCTTCCTGCGATGCATCCCATGGATGCAAAGCTGTTCCACCCCCCGTCCCAGCTTTAGCCAGCAGTGGGGAGTGAGCAGGAGCCGGGGGTGGGGGGAGGTCTGGCCTATGCCACCAGCTCCCAGCACCAGAGTGGGGCAGAGCTCCGTGGGAGAAGATGCCTGGACCACTGCTGCATCCCAGGCCCAGCAAGGAGCAGCCCCTACCCCCCTAGGCCTGGCGCTGCCCAGGGGAAAGGAGGGGGCTAAAGACTGAACGTACCTCCTGGAGGAGCTGTATTCCCGACCTGCAAGGCAAAGAGCAAGGGTTATGAGGCAGACTGGGGGCCGGATGGAAGCCGATGAGGCAGCAGGCACTGCAGGGCAGCTGTGTTGGAGGCTCCAAAGGCACCAGCTGGGCCCTTGAGGGCTGTGGCCAGGGCTGGGTCTGGCCTGCAGAGTAGGAGCTGCACCTTGGCCAAACTGCTAAGTGCAACACCCTCCCGGGAGTGCTGCAGCCATGCAGGAGGGGACAGGCAGGGCCCAGGGGAGATGCCGCAACATCCCTGCACGGCCCAGACCAGGGACAAGGGACCAAGCCAAGTCCCCCCCGGTACTCACTGTATCGCGGTGAGGGGGAGCGGCTCTGCCGGCTGTACTGCCTCTCCCATTCCTCCCGCTCCTTCTCCCGCCGCTCCCTCTCCCTGTGGGGAAACAGTTCGCATCAGGTGGGTGCCTATGCAGCCCCCACCCCATAAGGTCCCCAGGAAAGGAAGGGATGAGTTACTTCATCCGTATCTTCCGTGCCATGGCACGCAGCTCGTCCTCTCGCTCCTGAAAAAAAGACCCATGCACCAGTCAGGCCTCAGCCTTTGCCTGCCTACAGGGACAGCCCCTTCCCCACCCTCCCCAGGCACAGACCTCTTGCTCCCCACACTCCAGGCAGTCTGGAGCCCGCCCCCCCGCTTCCCCAGAGCTTTGCAGCCTGGAGTCTGTGGCAGTCAGCTTCATCTGCGGCAAAATGGATCCGGATCAAGCCTCAGAAGCCTCCTGCCCAGGCAGGACACAGCCCACAGTGCACAGCAGCACCATCAAAGGGTGCCAAGAAGGGGTGAGACAGTCCAAACTCAGCGCATGCTCCTGAGCTCTTCTTCCCCACCCTACCCCAGAGCAGCAACCTAGTGACTGGGCAGCAGGCCCCACAGAGGCCAATGGCTCCCTGGGGGTGCTCCACAGCTTGGGCAGGCACTGGTCCGTACCTGCCTTTCGTGCTCCTGCTGTAGCATCTTCTCCTGTGCTGCCTTCTTGTCAGCTTTAACTAGAGTGAGGAGAGAGCGAGAGCAGGGGTGAGGCAGGTTCAGTGGGGCAGATGAGGGAGGGGGGTGACGGGAGGACGATTACTCTGCTTACACTGCCTGTTAAGCGCCTTCTGCATACGGAGTTTCAGCTTCTCCTGTGGGGTTAGCTTGGGCTGCAAGGAAGCAAACGCGGAGGCCTTTAGGGCTAGGCTGGGCAGCACACACCAGACTCACCCGGCTGGGCGGTGCCCAGGACTCCCTTGGCAGCATCCCACACACCCAGCAGCCTCCTTGCTCTGGGGAACTTGCCCTTGCTCCCACCGGGGGGGGACAGGGGGGATGGAGCCTGCCCTGCTGGAGTGCCATCAGCCCCCAGGAGGACGGGCCCAGCTCTCCGTCTCCCTGAACCCTGGGGCTCCAAGTCCGGGTCATTCCAGACACTGTCCATCCAGGCCGGGAGTCACTTTGTGGGATGGGGCCAGCCCTGCCTGCCCAGGGGGCCAGGTTGTGAGCTGCATGGGCCCTGCCCTGCTTCCTGCACTCAGCCACAGCCGCGGGGTTGAGCGGGCACAGCCTGTGCAGAGCTGGGGCTCAGGTGGTGGCCAAACTGGACGGAGCAGAGCTCAGTCCGCGCCCCTGGAGTCTCCCACCCATGCATGCTGGCAAGCAGAGAAGGGCTGAGGGAACCCAGGGAGGGCGCAAAGGAGATCCCGGCTGCCTGTGCTGGGCACTGTGCTCTGCTGCACCACTACAGCTTCAGCCCCTCCTTGAGTGCTGCGGCCTGGCCTGCTCTGCTTGCCCAGCTACCAGTGGGGGGTGAAGTCTGCAAGGGGAGAACAGCCTGTGCCTGGCAGAGCCTGGCACAGGCGGCACGTGGCCAACAGCTGCTGTGTGCGGCAGTTCAGCCTCTGGCCCCAGCCCCGTGCCCACTCTGCACTTCTCCCACCACTCAGACTCAGCATAGCCCAGCAGGGACACCAATCCAGATCCTCCCTCATGAAGGACAGGGATTTGGCCCCTGGGAAAGAAGGAGCAGAAGTGGGAAGACGCAGGGGTGGGAACTGATATTCCAGGGTGCAAAGGAGCCCAGCCCTTCAAGCAATGCATTGAGCTCCTAGAGCATTTGGGAAGAACCTCTGCCCCCCACTGGACATTACCAAGCCTGGGCCCCGAGCCTGACAAAGCCCAGCCTCCCCACCCGTTGGAAAGGATGGCCCCAGGACCACCTCAGTGTAGCCTGTATCTATGGCTGGTGGGGAGTCCCTGCCAGCTGGGGCTGAGCCATTCGTGGCACAGCCCTCGTGCTCCAGGGGACCTGCCATCTGCCAGGGCCTTGAAATGCCCCCGCAGGAACAGGGCTCCCGGCAGCCAGCAAGGCTGGTCTTGAGCCTGGCTGCTCTCTGCGATGGAGCCTAGCAGGCAGCTGAGCCCTGGCCCCATCTCACCCCCTTGGCAACTCGGGGGCCTGGGAGAAGCAGTGGGAGCCTGGGAGACGGGGCCTGGGAGAAGCAGTGCCCGGGGGCGCTCAGCTCCACATTCCCCTTAACCTGCGCCCCAGAGGCTGCAGGTCCCCAAGCAGGGCAGCTCCACCACCAGGGAGCAGCTGGTGGGTGGAGGCCGAGGTGTCAGACACAGACAGAGAGAACGACTGGGCTGGTTCTCGGGCTAGGCAGACCCCTCCCAGCCCCGTGCAGCTGAGCCCTGCAGACAGTTCTACAGGTGCCCCCAAAGGAAGCCCCCACCCCAGCGGCTCCTCAGAGCTGGGAGGAGGGGGGGGGCCTATCTCCAGGCTCCTGCCTCCCCTCAGCAGTCACCCGACAGCCCAGCCCGGGACCGTCCCTGCCGGCCACCAGCACGGCCTGCTCCAAGCAGCCCCGCCACTACCCGGGCTCAACCCCCAGGTGCTGGAGCAGAGCCTGTGGCTCTGCGATTCTCCAGCCCGGGGCCGCCCGCTGGGCCACGCCCTGCACCTCCTCGCTCCCCGCATCTGTTCGGCAGTGATGTGAGTTAAACAGGTGAGATTAAATTCTTACTGACTTTGGCAGCTCCTGTCTCTTTACCGGCAGCAGCGTCGGCCCTGGAGGGGAACAAGGAGCTTGATCAGCAGTCATGGCACAGGTATGACAGATCACCACCCCCCTCCCCCGCCAGGGCCTTGCAGCCTCCCCCGCCCCACTTACTTTTTCAGCTTCTCCCCCACGGCCGGCGACGCTGCAGGCCGCAGCGGTTTCTCTCGTGGTGGAGACACCGACTTGCTGCGACTGCGCGAGTCACTGGGACTATGGCTGCTGCGGCTGCTGCTCCAGTGCCTGCCCATCCGGCTGCCCCGGCGATAGCGCTCCCCGGACCGGGAATGGCTCCTGTGGGCACGAGGGGTTCAGCCTTGCAGGATTCAGCTCCTGCCCCATCCGGGTGGGGACAGGCAGTGCCATGCAACCTGGCATCCTCCCCAAGCCCAGGGCAGTGCCATAGTTTTGCTTCCCCTGCCTTGGTGGAGGGGGCCTTGCTGCAAGCTGCACCGTTGCCCCATGGTGCTACCTGGACCGACGCCGGGAGCTGTAGCGGCGGGGGGGCGCCGGGGGGGGGGAGGGGGGGGG